CCTGCTTCGCATTTCTATATTATCAACTTGCTGTGCAAGGAGACCAACTTGTTGCTGAAGTGCTTGAATAGCAGTAAAAATGAAGGAGCGGAAAGCAGAAAAATCACTCTTTAAACTGTTGATGTTGGGTGATGGGCATGCAGCTTGAAGCTCACTCTGGTATTCATCCATTTTCTCAGTGAACATCTGTTGTAGCTTGAGAATTGACTCTTGCAAAGCTTCCATCTTAGTGAAGTGTAGTGACCAAACAGTGATTTTGTGAAGTTGTAGAAGATAATTTTAAAGGATAACACTTGCCGGCAGGTATTGTGTATCACTTGTTAATAATTCATAAAAATATATATTTCTAGACTTAATTAAACTATGAAAATAATTTATTAAATTTAATAAATGATAAATGGTGTTTACTGTCTTACACCTACCCGCCAAAAAAGTTATATTACTGTTGTAATATATTAATAAAATTCAAAATTAATCTTGGTGTCATTAGATTTGTTGACACCTATATTTAGCTACGTAGTCATTCTAGACTCGTACCTACGTATTTTAGTGATCGGTCATTCATGTAATGACACGTGATAAGATAGCAAAGAACATTATAAACAGCAGATCGGCAGATTACCGCATAGGTAATAATAAACTGCATTAAATTTTATTTTGGACTTAACTTTCAAAGCAATTGATGAAAATGTTCAATAGCAAATGTGTTAACTACTGATTCATTTATAAACTCATTTGTTGTTGCTACCTACGAGGCACTAACTTCATTTCATGCGATTCGGTGTAATTAAAAACCAATTAACGTTGTTGTTTCGAAATAGGTAACAATTGGTTTTTGAAGTTGACCTATCAATACTAACAACACGTATTACCCCAGTAGAGAAATTCTCTACTATGCTATTATTGCTTCTGTTGCCGGGAAGCAGCACTAGTAAAGTTTTTTTCTAAACGCCACTGAATGATTTTTTTCTAAAATTGTCCTAAAAATTAAATGATTTTTTTATTTAAATCTATAACAAGAAAAATTATATGTTTATTCATTGATTAGCTTTCCGTGTTGTTGTACTTGCATGTAGTTTTCAAGTTTTTTCAAAAAAGAATCATTGTTGCTCACTCTCATTAGTCATAGCGTCATGTTATACCTTTACAGCCTTTAGCCTCCGGAATAAATGGACAACCTATTTATCGAAAAAAATATTTTTCAATTAGCGAGTTCAGCCAAACAAACTCTTTAGCCTTATATAATAATATAAAGTAAAATATACCAGTGATAATTATTTTTGGATATAGATACCTACCTAAGTTTGAAAACTATTGGCTGCGGCATCTTTACAGCAATCAAACATGACACTTCAAAATATAATTTTAATCAAATAATAAATGCAAATGAAGCCTGATCATTAAAAAAGTTATTTTACAGCCTAGCAGAATATTTTGATGATAGTTTAGTATTTAGTTTGTATGTAAAGAGCCCGAAATGTCAATAAATACAAACGCGATGAAACCATTTAAAAATTATTATCCATGATATTTTTATTTACAATTATTCTTTTTAATTGAACGTGTTAGATCACCAACTTTATTATTGCATTATTGCTCAGTGGCGTAGTGGATAGGCGCCAAGGCACACAATCGTTGTCGTTAAGCAACTTTTTGCAAGGGTTGGTCACAGGATGGGTGACCAAAAAATTATTATCTCCAGCTACTCTGTGCTTCTGAAGGTAGGTTAAGCAGTTGGTCCCGGCTGCATTTGCAGTCGAAACCTGTTAATTGGCCAGCATTGGGCCAGCGTGGAAGGTTATGGCCCATGCTCCTTAGCCATAAGGAAATTCCAGAACCCTGCATTGGGGACGAAATAAAGGGCAAACGATATTTATTGCATATCCGATTGGATATAGGTAGTTACATTTGCAATTTGAAAGGCTCCGCGCAGCACAGTATGAGAAACGCTGGCCTAACAAAAGCCATATTGCCACAGAATTAAGGTATGAGCAATTATGATAATGCATAAAACACAATAACGAGACACTGCTGATAGAATTCGGTCATCATTAGAATTCTTTTTGGGATAATAGTTTGAATGTTCTGTATGACCTTCGGTAATGAATAGAGGATATTCTCAAATAAAGATAGGCCGAATTAAAAATAACATTTATTACGTCACACGGAACGTAGTGCAACGAGAAAAACCTGATATATTATTGTGAATTGTTAATTTTTTTCCTAATTTACTACAAGTTTACATAAGTATAAACAGGTTATAATAGAAAGATTCATTCATTTGGTCAACTAGTGACGTCATCGCTTCGTAAGTATTTTTACTTGTATTTGCCAATCAATTATTCAAAGAATGCGGTTGAGAAACAAAATAAACATATAAACAAGTACATCAAAACAACACTTTACATAGAGCGCGGATAATTTCACATTGGCACAGCGCCCAAAACAAATTGTTTACACCGAGAAACGTGACCAAATTTATTAGTCAAATCGGTGTTTTATCATGCTACAGTGCTAAAAAACAACTTTTTTATTTATACTTTTTGACGGCCACCAGAGATTATTTTAGAATCAAAGTAAGATATTACAGCAGCCACTGTCATTGGATTTATCAAATGTAGGAAGCGTATTATTCATATAATATTGAATAAAACAATCGGTACATATAAAAATATTTTATTAAAAACATTTTGGTAACATTTAATAAGAACACTTAGGTAAAAATAAGACGACCATAAAATCATTTTAAAAGAACAGCCTGGACTGGAAGTTCACGGAGGAAGCCGGAACAGCAAAAAAAAAAAAAAACTAATATAAATAAGAAAAAGAAAACAATGATAACATTCTAGGCAGAGAAATGTCTAATTGACAACCAGAATTAAGGCATCGCAAGAATAATTATTTAAGTACGATAAAATACCTACGGCTATTATTATAGTTACAACAAATGAACGCCTAGTTACTAAATGTTCAGTAGTGGCGCATGTGACCCTGTTGTATTGGCAGGGACTTACATAGAGTATTATTGCCGCTAAAATAGTAACACATCACGAACGACAAATGGTTTGCTCGCTACTACGCCGATATCATAACCTATTAAATACTAAAACATCCCAATTATACAAAGCTACGTTAAAATCTTTACCTAACTAATAATAATATTAACTTTCTTCGGCTAATTTTGATACTAGAATGATATTAAATCATCTCATATTGTACTCTTAACATTAAGTTGGATTAAATTATAAATGACGTATTAATACATAATATTGCAAGCATTAATGAGATTGTGCACTTACGAGTTTTCATTCAAGTAACAAGTGATAACTTAATGATATACGGATGGAAGATAATCGTATTATTGAATTTAACATAAGTGTGCAGCCCGGCTGGGTCGGGCTCTTACATTCAGTTACTATAAAGGAATAGTCATAAAGATTAAATTACGAGCATTGGCACTTTCAATATTAAACCTTAATTACACTCTCGAAATAGCACTGCATATCAATTAACCAACTTAAAAACTAATATCAGATCAGTCATTTATGATATCACATCAAAATAAACAGGGAAATACATAAAAATGTGATTATCGATTGGATATATTATTCATAATTATACATATATATATACTATATTATTTTCAAAAGAGGTATTAATTTTTCTTAAGGGTTACTAAAATATTGAGCTCTGCGCCGACAGAGACGCACTATATCACCATAATACGAGAACAACATTGAACCAATCAGTTTTGGTACTTGGGAGTTATCTCCGAGTTAATCTATTTTTCTAAACCTACATAATGCTTATCAGATATACGTAATACACGATGGGTGGGCGCGGCGTTCGTCTCCCGCGATGGGTGACGTCAGCGCACGCCCCCCCTACGCAAAAACCTCCCTTATACAATTTTCATTCATTACAAAAATACTGTCATTTGACTACAGTTCATGAGAAAAAAAAAATATTTATCATATGATCAAACAATAGATATAATACAACAAATAGTTAATATTAGTTTAATATCATGTATATTATGATTTGATTTGACTAAATAAAATTATAAAATGCATTAATATTGAAATGATTAAAAACTTTGTAAAGACACAGTGGAAGGTACTATATTGATATTTTTAGAAATTTCCATTTTAAATAAATAGCACAACAACCAACATTATTTGGCAATGTGAATTAAATAATTATAAACAACTACTAACCATTGGCTGTTAACTTAAACACGAAATTGGAATGCAAATATTGCATCGCACCTCCAACTCCGACGTAGTCTGTGGTACGTGGAATAAGAGGCACCAACATGGGCCAACGGAATCACATTACGATTTAGGAGACATTCACAACAAGAACTCGTTTAATAACCTGTGCGTATCGGCTCCAAATACTTTCCTTTGAACATTCGATTGATGTTTGTTATAATTAAAAACTAATAAATGAATGCAACGTTTGATATTTCAAATAACCAATAACAACCATTTCGCGAGTGAGTTTTATGTGACTGTGGATATAGCACATTATTCGTCGGCAGAACGTATTATGTTTTAAATAAATTCGACTTTTCATTATAAAGGTCGTAATAGACTGTTAAGATGCTATAGTATGATATGATAAAATACCGCCCGCCATACATTCCAATAGTCCAACTCACCAGTGCTATTAATAAACAAGGTTTAGCGTCAGAGTAAATTTAAGCTCAAATTGCAATTTTAGTATTAGTTCAAATTCATATTACACAGAGAATATGCAAACCTACTATTACCTTCTAAGAGTAAATGTAGAACGTTGTACTAGGTCAACCTATGCTAAAGTCTCAGTTAATTTATATGAATTTGACTAATACTAAATGCAGTGTCAGCGTTAATTTACTCTAACGCTAAACCTTGTTTAACATTGCACAGGGCTAAGATAAATTCATATTAAGTATCTCAAGATGCCAAGCGATACAAAATATATATTCGTAGGTTAAGACGGTGTATTAGATTATCTTAACCGTGTGATAGCTTAAGAAATATGGTATTTTAAGATATCTTGGGATGAAATATTATAGCATCTTAACCGTCTGTAATGAGTTTTAACGTGTCTACCGAATCAGAGGCCATTATTGTTGTATTAGTGTTAGCTGCATTCTGAGATCCATGCTATATGTTCAGTCATGACCCACTGAAACATAATATAGATATAAATATATTTGTATTATTAATATTTTAATCTACTTCATACATTAATATGTTCATAGCCCAGTAAATTGATTAGATAAAAGATAAGCGTGGTGATGACTCAGGGTAATGATGTTGATAAAATGCTTCTATTTGGATAACAAAAATTCATTTTCAATTTAAATCTGTAACTTTAAATATATTGTTTAAAAAAAAAAGTTATTAGACATCGCGTGGCTGTTGGTCCCTTCCAAATATTTGCCAAATCCTCTAGAGAAACTTTCATATCAGTAACAAACTAAAGAAATTTTGAAAACTACATATTTGTATTGTCACATATCAATATTATTATTTTTATATAAAAATAACTTTGTGGGAAATACATTACCGTGTATAATTACTCCAGTTCCAATAATTTAAAGCTGATTTACAACAGCACAACTAAAGATGCACAAAAAATGGACTGTATCATTATTATTAATAGTAGTTAGAATGTTAAACATTACTTATATGTAATTGAAGAGACTCGCACTATTCAATATCTTGACTAAATTAAGAGACCACGAATATTACACTTTCATATATATATGCACATACATAGAGATATTTTGCCAGTCTGTCAATGACTACTATAATTTCACTAAGTACCCAGTATCTGGGCGTGTCAATGACTCGAAAAGTTTTAAAACTGTCTGTAACAACTACTAATACCTTAGAATATCTAATCACTGCAATAATTTGTGATGATATGCACTGATAACCCACTCTGACTATGTTTGCGTGGGTATTACATATGAAATATTTAAATGAGTCGTTCAAGCTTTCACACCAAATCGATAGGAAGTTGATTTAGGGCTTTGTCAAGATTGTTATCCTCTTTATAATATGTCATCACTGTTATGTAATGTTCGGACGGTAAATCCTTCAATCATAATTAGACCTTAAAATTAACCTATAGCTTGGCTTAAATTCGTGCCTATCTCGTCAAAATAGTTTAAATTTAAATAACATCCGAGAAGCAGCCTTTTGGTTTAAACAATGACGATCTTATTTTTAAATGACTGTGGAATATATCTTAATTATTACATCTAAAGACTAATCAATATTAAAAAAAAACAATATTTAAATAATATCTATTACATGTAATGGTGGGAAGATTAACATGTATTATTAGTAATTATCCACGATTTAAATATTGCTTTAAGATTAACTGGACATAAAATTCATTGATTAAATATTATCAATCATTGAATGTTATATTAACAATAAATATTTTAATTGCATAATCCAACCCTTTATATTTAATATATTCTTTGGATAACAAAATTATTAACGTTTCTAAGAGGAACTAATTGCAGTATGTAAGTACTCATATTTAAATGTCATTTCATATAACTTAATAAAGAAGATTTGTATGTAATATTTTTTTTAAAATTCGTTTTTAATATTGAACTCACTATAATTTAGAATAGGACCTAGAAAATGCTATTTAGACAAGTCAATTTATGGCATTGTAAAAAAAGTATAGTAAGCCTAAAATTTATCACACAAATATAAGTTAAAACAAAACGAAATTCATGTATCGTCACGCTAGACACTCACAGAATTTGTCAAAAATTATTTTGTTTAAATTAAGATCACAGTATAAGTCACTATTAAAATGTAACTCTACGAATGCGCGGGACGATAACAACATGCAATATTCCACAGTCATCACTAAGACGGGCCCACAGCAGGGAAGCATTACACATCAACACATGAATTTAAATAATATACTTCACTTACAAAGGAACTACAAAAGATTAACTCACCTACAAACAATCATAGTGCAAATAAACACCAATCATCAAAATCTAATAAAAACATTATAAAATGATTTGTGAGCAAATTATTACAACAAAACAAAAACACTTAGCAAACATTCCTTGTTATTTTTGTTACAAAATAACAGGTCGTCATTAAAAATAATAGTCACATTGATGAACTAGTCAATTACAAGTTGTGTATGCACCCTGATGTGTTCCAGTCGCACCCGTTCGTTCAACCTTTCGTTTGTTCAGGATCTATGATGTCATGTAAAAACATCACTCTGAGGCACCTACAACCCAAGAAAAGCCGCAGGCACGGCATGAATCGTTTACATACTGTGTACGTGTTCCATAGGGCCCCAGGCGATGGTACTGGGAGCGATTGGCGAAGAACAGTGTTGGGTTGTTTGATGGCAGCAAAGTGGCACGGTAGCTCCATCTTGTATCAGTGAGATTAGACATCAAGTTAAGAATATCACGCCCTCCATACATAACTTTTACATCTTCAACTTTTTCTTTAACAAGAGGTTGTGGTTGGACCACAGGCTCAAAAAGTTTCTGTAAAGAAATAAATTACCAATTAATTGGTTTTTAATGAATACCCTCAATTAGAACACGAAACAAAAAAAAAAATGGCCTGTATGTTTCGAACTGCATAAGTTACAAACTATTTTGATTTAGTAATTTAATGTTAAAAATTATATTCATTATGTGAATTATATAATTGTTTTGAAGATTTTTGAAGAAAATTGGACAATCCACAAAGTACTGCCTATTAAAAATGAAAAGTATGATTTTCTGTATGTGCATAATAAATTTTTACAAATCCAGATACAGATTGAGTGAAATTTGCTGGCGCCCATATCATCAGTTACTGTAATAAGCCAGGTTAAGTAGGTAATAGGTAAACTGCACACACAGAAATATAAAAAGTGCTTTAAATACTATTTAATTTAAAATTTAAACATGGTAAAAAAATCATTAGTTTAGAATAGTTTTGGATTCATGGAGTAGGTGCATATTTAACTATTGCAAAATATTGTTTGTTTTTAGTGGGTAAATTAAAATTTTTATCCTTCAAATCAATGTCATGACTTATATAAAATAGAAAATAAGCTTATGATACAACCTATGACATCTATTGAACCATATTATCATTAAAAGATAATACAGAAAATTTGTAGCATACCTACTCTGTTGGTAATGTTTGCTATTACGGAATATTATGAAAATAGAGGGGTCAAGGCCAGAACGTACGCAAACAAAATAGTGCAAAAATCCACGTTACCTTTTCTGTAGTTTGAGGACTAGACGGTAGGGAGTCACTGTTCACTGATTCTGCTTTGAGCGATCCCAGTGAGCCGATACCGCTAGATTCACTGGACACTGACGGACTTGGGCTTGATTGCGACTGAGTAAGGCCCGCTATTTCTATGATATGGCCAAATGAGTCGTAAAGGTTAAAATTCTCGGTGTTCAAGTCATTTGGGGGTAATGCGACGCTCAAAGCCATGTCTGGAAAAAAAATAATGGACTTACAGATTTAAATCACACGTGCGAAAACGCCATACATTTTATTAGCTTGTTCGTCGAAGGTATGTTGACAGAAGTAACGCGCCAAACTGTTACGGGTTTATTATCACAACACAGGTGTATCAATCGATTTTTCTTTATTTATTGTTATAAATAGAGATACTTGTAAAATTCACTATGTTAAACAAATAAAACACAATTTACCGAAAAGCGTAATTCCCAAAAAGCACAAGCCTCAACGTAGTTGAAAGAGATCGAACATGTATAAAGTGAAGTTAGCCACATTCATTGAATTTGCGTGTGCGTGATGTTGCTAGCGCCAACCGGAAATGGCTAGGTCGGTAAAACAGTATCTAATACGCAGTTTATACAAAAACAAGAAACAGCCACTTACATAAACAAAATATCTCTTTACTCGAATTTAAATAACTTCATACTACATAAAATAATGCAATATCGCTATGTACAAAGATACAAAGATTGTTAAAATATGTTTAGTAAATAATTTGCCAAGGGAACTACCGACATCTAGTGATTACTGCACAAGTCTTTTTCGTAAGCTTCCGCTTACGGTCACGCAAAAGTTTCAACAATATTATGCTAGATGGCGGTAAAAAGACTCTCTCATTATGATGTGTTTTAACTGAATGTTCATAGATGTCACGTTTATTATATTAACTTTTTTTTAAAATTCTAATAAAGGTCATCCACCACCAGTGATAGATGCGGTTGCAGCCTGCTTATTTTGAGAGGATCAAATAATAAAATTAGATAATAGTCTAATAGTTAATATTATGTTAGTTAATATTAATATTATGCAATAGCATAGTACCCAATTGCATTGCACAATTTATAAAACAAATGGAAGCCTTATCTATTTTTATTGGCAAATCTGGACACTACGAAAATCTGTCAGTAGGTAATGCAATCTCGCGAGATTGGGACTCGGGCGAGATCTCGCGAGTTTATGAATATCAATACAGAGATCTCGCGAGATTATTAAAATCACAATGTTTGAATAAATTAGGAAGAAGCATTAGAATAATAGATATTATGAAATAAACATTTATTTTTCAGTATTTTCAATCAACTTTTATGTATTTAACATTGTTTGACGTAATTATATATTTTTTGCTAAAACCTTTAAAATAGCAATTAGGTATTTTATTATAATCTCGGAAACGGCTTCAACAATTTTCATGACATTAAGTATACAGGACAAATCAATTTAGTTAGATTGATTTTTTTTATTTTATAAAAATGCCGAGTCAAGCTTAGTAATCCAGGTACTAATCTTTTAAGAAACTAAACTTAGACGTATCTAATCAAATACGAAATAAAATAAACAACCAGTCTTCTCTGCTAATATCAAACACAAGTTTAATTTTAATACACAGTTTTGTATATCAAAAATACAAAAACTAAAATAAAATTCATTAACTTAAATTGAATTGCCTTTTAAACTGAGATTATTATCAAAGAAAACTATGTGTACCCAGAGATCTATTAGAAATAAGAGAATAAATTAACAAATAATATCAATCAATTTTTAATCAATCAAGGCTTGTTCATTTCTCTTCACAAGTTATTATTACGAAAAATTTTGAAAGTAGCTTCTTAAGAAGTAAAAAGTGTCAAAGAATCGCTATTCGTCTTATTATTGTGCTGGCCAGATAACCAGCTACTAAGAAGACCCTTTCAATACCACAAGTACTGTAAAAGAGTAAAAGTTCGCCTTTTAACCCCCTGGATTCGCATAAATTCGCGCTGCCGCACTTAGAATAAATAGTTTTATGCTCGAGTGCAATCTCGTTAAACTCTTAAACTCGCGAGATCTCGCCCATTTTTCGACCGAGACCTAGAATCTCGCTTAAAAAGGCCGAGATCTCGAATGCAAACGAGATTGCAATGCAATCCCTACCTGTCAGCCTCTCCTTTTTGCTCACAACCGAGATTCTATGCACCTTACAACTCTAAGGCGTGTACGATCACGACTTTTCTGATACCGCACCGTTTTACTAGTAAGAATTGCCAGAATGTTAGAAGTGCTATTTATATTTAAGTAGAGTACACTAGCCGGTTTGTGAATCAGAAACGAAAACCTGGTTAAGTGACTTTTAAGTACAGTTTAGGAAGTGCTTAATTTTAAATACTCAATTCAGAAACCGGTCGTTAGGAAATTGATGTCAGCAAACCATCAAATGAATCAATTAAAATGGCGATGCTAACAATCTAGTTTAGCATATGCAATTTTAATGTCCATATCTTACTAAATGTGTGAAATATTTTTTAATTGCTTGTACCTACCTAATAAAGAGAATGATATCCTACCTATAATGCAGTAATATAGGTTATTGTACCATTATTTAACAGACAGGCACCTACAGGTTTTAGTTCTTTTGCGTGTTAAATGTAGCTTATTTTTTTATTGTGTTAAGTAGGTAATGAAAATTTAATGATACGGCTAAACGTAGATCAGGTGCGTAGCTGAACGCATACGTTCTGCCGTACGGCATGACCAACTGTCTATGGGAGTCGACATGGGAAATATTAATTATAATTGATCTTAAACGTGGGAGAGCCACGCTTCGGCATGAATGGGCCGGCTCGACCGGAGTGATACCACGGCCTCACAGAAAGCCAACGTGAAGCAACGCTTGCGTTGTGTTTCGTCGTGTTAGTGAGGGTACCGGACCAACCAACCCCTCCTTCCTTCCCTCTACCCTCAACCCTTCCCTCCCTATGATCATATTCGTCCCTCAAAGGCCGGCAGCGCGCTTGTAGCCCCTCTGGTGTTGCAGGTGTCCATGGGCGACGGTAATCACTTACCATCAGGTGATTCGTCGTCTTGTCTGCCCCCTATCCCATAAAAAAAAATCTTAGTAGTTTCGCTCTTAGATATTACTTACACACAAGAGCAAAATATCAGTGATATAATAATAACTGATATAAGCGCCTACCCTATGTACTAAACAGTTTTCCCGCGGAAATTTAACAAGATAGTTAAAAATAAGTTTTTCACAAAATTAAAAAAGTACCTCATTAATAATGGCATTTCCTTTAGACGAGGCTCATGATCCGGCAGTGAAACCGTTTATACGGTTTTGCTGGTCTAATTGCAAATATCTTTGCATCTTATACTTTAATTATAAATAAATAAAAAGTTGGCAACTTTTTTGGTCTTGTTCCAGAAGAAAAAAATCTAATTTCACAACTAGACTTTTTTAAATTATGCGAGTAAAAATTTACCACAAATCAAGTGGATAGATTGATACAAATAACCAACACAAAATAATAGGCTAGATATGATAATATACTCGTAATTGGAAATTTGAAGTTGAGGCGTTGAGACCAAAATTATTGGGTAACGTTTCCGTCGTATTACGTATTATTTGAATAAGTGAAACTTATTATATTCGATCAATTTCGCGTCAGAGTAGTCACCCGGATTGCCAAAAGACGTGGCTTCAAATCCCATCTCAGGGTGCCAGGGACCAAGTGGATTTTTTAACATTTTTCAATAAGAATAACTTAATACTTATTTTGCTATAGATTACAAATTGTACTTTTTATTTTTCATTTTGCCTTCAAATGAGGGTAAAATGGAATTTTTCAGGGTTTTATTTTTAGTGATCTCATTCGCACTCATTTTTGACTGGTTATTGTTGATTAAAAAATTTAGATTTTTTTTCAAGACTAATTAAGATAACTAAGTTAAGTAATTTTTTATTTATTACTAGACAAAGTTAGGTTTTTATCTTGCTCCCTTTCCCCTACTATTTTAGATTGTTGTAATTTATAGCCAATAAAACAGTCTATACCCTTTTCCCTCCATTAAAGAAAATGCATAAATTGTGGCTAGTCCAATTTCTAAACCTTTACTTACTTATTTTGTAATACATAACTAATCTTTCCCGCCTGATTTGTATTCGTAATGATTGAAACCAGATACTTTCATAGTTTTTTCTACAGAAGATTATGATTTAATTTTAATTTTAAAAACTTACTTCAAAATCTCTAAACTTAGTGTAAAAAAAGGTTGATCACTACCAATTTCGTGATGTCTATCTGATGTAAAACTTATAAAAACCTACTATACCTACTTAGCGTAAGGCGCTGCGCAGACCTAGCAACTTTATTTCATGCAAGTTTCAATTTTTTGCGTCACCACATCAACGATTATTAGTTGTAGAAACGAAATGGCCGATTCTGCTATGTTCTCAATTTTAGATAATTTTTGGAAATTCGACACGTTTTCTCTATGAAGGTTTGATTGGCGAGATAGATTATGCCGTTTGTGAATGAATATTATACGTGATACATACGGTTAAGAACGTGGATAATCGGGTGTAGTCAGCACACAGACCGTATTGTTTGTTTTCATTCTTGATTTTCATACCTCGGTCAACGTATGGCACGCTGTAATGACTATATGAGTAATGACTAGTATGTTATTAAGTACCTAGCCAAGCTAGCCTAGCTATGTTATTAAGTAGTACCAAAGACTTTAGCTAGCTTAATAATATACTAGTATTTATATTTTTATACTTTGTTATTTACAATTTTATTATAATAACGCTTATTTTGCCTTTTATATAATATGGTGTGGTTGGAAAAGTTATGAACATCATAAATATATTTCTACACTTAAATAATTAAGATATTAATTGGTAAATTCTGAAAATGATTGAAATGTTTAGTTTAATTTTGTTTATTTAAACTCGAGAGATTTAAGTAACACGATAAAAGAAAGTGCTCTGTACCTATATTATATAATACTATTATATTAAGTAGTGTTGATGGTTGTTAGTTGCTGAAATTAACAACTCTGTATGCGCAGTGCCTAAGAAAATTATTAAGCATTCTTCAACAAAGAGCAGTTAATGATAAGGATGGTAAAGTGGGGTAAAAAATGATGTATCCTATTTGTTTAAGATGCAGCGATAACATCATGCATCTGGACTTGGAAATTAAAAAGAAATAACGAAACAGATACTTAAATACCATATATGAGAATACGGGGTCCATTAATCATGAGTAGAGATGAAATTTTCCTTCAAATCATAAAACATTTATGGAGAGCCCGAGGATATCATTGTTTAAAACATTATAAAAATAAAAAAAAAAACAATTACCTACTTGTATAAAGTAAAAAGATATTTTTTTTTGCCTAAAATTAATTAAGTATATATGACCACCGACTTACAGTTTCTGTTTACCTATGTCTCTTCTCTACCTAACTTATTTATTTTTGCCTACATTACCAACCCATTTCATAAAACCAGCCATGAATGCATTCTAAAGTGAGAATTTGTGTATAATATTATTTGTTAT